AAAACTGGAACTTGGGACCTACTGAAATTCTGGCCAAAAACTCACGCTTGTCCAATTTAAGCATAACCAGGGCTTCGCGCGCTTTCACTTTAAACAATGAGGGTTTGATTCCTATAAAAGTCCAGTTGAGATTTTAAATTCAGAGCAATGATCTATAAAGAAAATAGAAAGAAGTTATAGTTAATAAATTTTATAAGTATAAGAAATCTTATTCTATTATTTAATTTTAATTTTCAGAGCTTCCACCAATTGCATAGCATAAACATCTATAAGATCTCACGGATAAACTTCCCAAATTTCATTCTTCTACTATACACCAAATTGCTTCAAAAATTAATACTATATTTAATTTAAAATTTATTGAATTTATCTTCATTTCGGGCCATTTTGTATGCTTATATTTATAAATTGAGTGTTTGTAATTTCATAAGTACTTCTGTATTAATAAAATATTATATAGGATCTATTCCAAATCTGGATTATCTTTTAAATGCGATTATGAATCATGAATCTTTTAACTTCTCCTTCTTTCTGATTCCCTGTAATACGATTCATGTTAGTAGCTTGCGCTGCGTAGCATGTCAATGCTATTAAAACCAGCGCACGTCGACCTTTAACACTCTCAACAGTCCCGTTAAAATATACTTTCTTTATACTACATCTAGCATTATACTCTTGTTCCTTCACCCGTTCTCCAACTAAACGAGGCTTCACGGAAGCTCCGTACGAGGCAAAAATCATAAAGCATTTTAAATCCTTAATTCTCACATCTACTCCTAATCTACTGCCGCAGTCTAGGGGCCATTTCCGGGCTAATGGCCCCAACGAAGACCTTCCTAAATAAACGTTAACCGACCTTCTACCCTACACTTGAACCTGTGTACGCCGAGAGGTTGCCGCTGGAGGAAGGCCGCAACTGCGGGTTCCCAGCTGCATCCCATATAAGGCCCCAAAAGTATCGCTCGACAGGTATTTTTGGCCAAGCGAACGGATGTTTATGGCCCCGATCTTCCGGTTCGATGAATCTATATTGCCTGTAATTGCGTAGGCGGGCCGAAATTACATGGGCAAATCTTGCAGCAGGTTGTGATGGTTGGAGTGTTAGCGATGCAAGGCGGGTGAATTGATCGCGAGAGCACATTCGATTACGAGGGATTATCGGTGTCCAATGCGAGTCGCAGGCAGGGACACATGGTAGCTATCAGGAAGGCGAGTCTGCAAGTGCTGGCAGACCAAGGTGCTTATAGGAATTGGCGAGGAATACGTAATGAAAGTATAGTTTGTAAATATAAACCTATGTACTCGCCGATCCGCGCCGGAAATCAGCGATAATTAATCAAGACTCTTAGTATTAAATTTCTCTTGGCTACCGATTGTTCTCTATCTGCTTTTGTTTATTTCTATCGCGATTGAACTTTATAGAGGCAAGCCGGATGGTTTGGATAATATTATACCACTAAGTAGTGATGGATACTGAATGAATTCTGTCACGTTCCAACATTCTATGTTTTTTACCATTGGTGGTTGTCTTTTTTGTAAGCACAACTATGAATACGCATGAACATCAATCGTGCAGATCGCATGTCGAGTCGACTCGAAGAAACACCAATATGGGCATATCTCTTGTGGTACAGGCGGGGCGGGGCGGCGGGGCGGGGGGGGGGGGGGCATGCTTTTTCATATTTATACCAGTTTACTTAACAGCAAGCGTCGAGCATGATAGCAAAAAAACCTTCGATCTATATGAACAGTGATTTGAAAAAAAATGTCTAATATTAGCCTGCAATATATAAGCATACGAGAATCTCACTCTTTCCTATTTCTATCTCTTTTATCGTTTTCTTGTAAGCGTGGCGACTCTCCGAAGGGGAAAGAATAAAGTACTTGATTGAATAAGTAGATGCGCCACGTGAGGGTCTAAGCCTATTTTCTTAATAGGGAACACAGAAAATAAAAAAAATATTCAGTCCCAAAATTATTCAAAAAAATAGTGGAGGGGAAAGCTACCTTCTGATTGGATAAAACCAAAGATTAAACTATACCCAACTTCAAGTCAGCAGGAGTCAAGGGGGATCTTACGGGGGCCCACTATGGTAGAA